CTTTTGTTCGCGATTCGTCTGCGGACAAGCTCTCCTCTCGTGCTGTTCCCTGCGTCTTCCTTGGCTTTGTTCCGGACGCGCCTGGTTGGCAGTTTTACCACGCCACCTCGCGCCGGGTCTTGGCCTCTCAGGACGTCACTTTTGACGAGTCTGTCCCCTACTACCGCCTCTTCCCCTACCGCACTGCCCCGCTCCCACCCCCGCCTCTCTTCCTCGCGCCAGGTGCTGCTGTCGTAGACCCCCTCCCCCCTCACGGTGCCGCTCCCTCAGGTGTGTCTCAGGTAGACCCGGTCGAGCCCGTTGAGGTTGCTGTCGACTCTCGTCCTGCTGGGGGTGCTGAGCCTGGGGGTGCGGGACGCTGGGGATGCTGAGCCTGGGGGTGCGGACACTAGGGGTGCTGAGCCTGGGGGTGCAGACTCTGGGGGTGCTGAGCCTGGGGGTGCGGACTCTGGGGGTGCTGAGCCTGGGGGTGCGGACACTGGGGGTGCTGAGCCTGGGGGTGCTGTGCCTGGGGGCGCTGAGCCTGGGGGTGCGGCGACTGGGGGTGCTGAGCCTGGCGGTTGCTGCGTCAGGGGGTCCTACGCCTGGACGAGACCTCTCTTCAGAGCAGTTGCGTGAGTGGTACTTACAGTACTGCAGCCTCCGGAGAGGTACCTCTGGGACCAGGCGCGCTACGGAGACTGGTGTTGACACTTCTCCTTCTAGTCGGGAGCTCCCCTCTCGTGAGCGGATCCGTGAGTGGTACGAGCGCCGTTGCACACTTCGTAGTGGCGCGCCTCGTCTCACGGACCCTGCTGCTGCTGGTGCTGCGGACCCGGGCGTTGGAGCTGCTGCTGGTGCTGAGGACCCGGGCGTTGGAGCTGCTGCTGGTGCTGCGGACCCAGGCGATGGAGCTGCTGCTGGTGCTGAGGACCCGGGCGTTGGAGCTGCTGCTGGTACTGCGGACCGGGCGTTGGGGCTGCTGCTGGTGCTGCGGACCCGGGCGTTGGAGCTGCTGCTGGTGCTGAGGACCCGGGCGTTGGAGCTGCTGCTGGTACTGCGGACCCGGGCGTTGGAGCTGCTGCTGGTGCTGACGACCCGGGCGTTGGAGCTGCTGCTGGTGCTGAGGACCCGGGCGTTGGAGCTGTGACTGGTGCTGAGGACCCTGGTCTTGGAGTCCCTGCTGGTGCTGCGGACTCGGGCGTTGGTACTGCCGCTGGGGGCACTGGTGCTGTCCCTGCTGTGCCTGGAGTCGCCGCGCGCCCTCAGCCGTACTTCGTTCCGCTCCTTCAGCAGGTTCTTGGTCTCTCGCCTCCTCCTGATCCTCCCCCTCCTTTAGTGTGTCCACAGCCTGTTCAGTCACTGCCTGCTCCTTCTCCTTACTCTGGTCCTACTGACGGTCTTACTGAGCGTCGTGAGCCTACGTCTCGCCCTGCGTCGCCTGTCCGTCCTGCTAGCACTAGTGCTCGTAGTTCGCGTCCACGTCCTCCTCCTGCCCCTGGCACGCACCGGATGTCTCTGCGTCCTTCCACTGCTCCTCTGCGTGCCCCTTTGCCTTCTCCTCCTGCTTCCTCTCTTCCTGCTCTTGTCGACCCTGAGTCGGACTCTCTTCGTGCTGCCAGTCCTACTGTCACGCGTCTCCTTGCTACTGTCGTCACTGACCCTTCCTTCGAGTCTTCTGCTGCGTCTGCCCTAGTTGCTGAGCTCGTCGACTTTGCTGCTCGCTGTCGTCTAGACTACGCTGCTAGTTTTGTCGCTGAGTCTGAGTCTGTCTGTCCTCCGTCCGTCGGGGGTGCGTGTGCCCTTGGCACGGACGTCCTTGAGGACAGGCAGGAGGAGTTTCAGTGCTTGGCTGCCGCTTCACCTCATCTCGCGTCTGTACTGCTAGCCCCTGAGGGAGACCCGGATGCACTAGACATCCCGACTCCGCGCTCTTACGCGGAGGCGATAGAGGGTCCCTACTCCTCTCAGTGGCAGGCAGCTATGGATGCAGAGATGGCTTCCTGGAAGTCCACAGGCACCTACGTTGACGCTGTCCCCCCTCCTGGGGCGAACATCGTCAGTGGCATGTGGATCTTCAGGGTGAAGCGGCCGCCGGGTTCTCCGCCTGTCTTTAAGGCGCGTTACGTGGCTCGTGGCTTCAGTCAGCGGCAGGGAGTTGACTACTTTCAGACCTTCTCCCCCACCCCGAAGATGACCACTCTTCGGGTACTCCTGCACGTTGCTGCTCACCGGGACTACGAGCTTCACTCTCTCGACTTCAGCACTGCTTTCTTACAGGGCAGCCTGCACGAGGAGATCTGGCTGCGTCGCCCACCTGGCTTCACTGGGTCTTTCCCTCCTGGTACCCAGTGGAGTCTCCGGCGTCCAGTCTACGGTCTCCGCCAGGCGCCACGTGAGTGGCACGACACACTGAGGACTACGCTGGCGGCACTTGGATTTGCTCCTTCTACTGCCGACCTGTCGCTGTTTCTGCGCACCGACACTTCTCTGCTGCCGTTCTACATCCTCGTGTACGTCGACGACTTGGTCTTTGCCACTGCTGACACTGCTGGACTCGCCTACGTGAAGTCCGAGCTGCAGAAGAGACACACGTGCACTGACCTGGGTGAACTGCGCAGCTACCTTGGCTTGCAGATCACCCGGGACAGAGCACGCCGCACCATTACCCTGACTCAGTCACACATGGTGCAGCAGGTCCTTCAGCGCTTCGGCTTCACGTACTCCTCGCCTCAGGCCACTCCTCTGCCTACTCGCCACTCGCTCTCAGCTCTGCCTTCGGATGAGTCCGTAGAGTCGAGTGGCCCGTACCCAGAGCTTGTTGGCTGTCTCATGTACCTGATGACCTGCACACGACCTAACCTTGCATACCCTCTTAGCATTCTTGCGCGCTATGTTTCTCCTGGGAGACACCGACCAGAGCACATGGCTGCAGCGAAGAGGGTGTTACGCTACTTGTGCAGTACGTCGGGCATGGGACTAGTGCTTGGAGGGCGGAGTCCAGTGGTCCTCACTGGTCACGTGGACGCTTCTTGGGGCGACGACCAGGCTACGCAGCGGTCGTCACAGGGTTACACCTTCACCCTTGGTTCCGGCTCTGTTTCGTGGCGGGCTACTCGCTCGTCTTCTGTTCTCGGCTCCAGTTGTGAGGCTGAGATCTACGCAGGGGCCATGGCTGCTCAGGAGCTTCGCTGGCGCACCTACCTGCTGACCGACCTTGGAGAGCCGCCTCGTTCTCCTCCAGTCCTGTACGTCGACAACAAGGCCATGCTGGCCTTGTGTCGAGAGCAGAGATTGGAGCACAGAACAAAGCACATTGCTCTCCGCTACTTCCTTGCTCGTGAGCTACAGCAGCGTGGTCAGTTGCGACTTGCGTACGTGGCCTCTGAGGCCAACACTGCTGATGTTTTCACCAAGGCACTTGCGCCTTGTGATCATTAGCGCTGCTGTACCCAGCTGGGTCTTGTGTCTGTCTTGCCTCACTTGCTCTCCTCTTGACCCTCTTTGTAGTGTTACATATATATATCACTGCTCTTGCTTGTTTAGTCTTATATATATTTATATGTACTCCTGCATGTGAACTGGCCTTGTGGCCTTGAACTTGTGCTCGGATTGTGTGGTGACATTGTGATCCACCCTGAGCTTGCTTTGCTTTACTTGACTGGTCTTGTGACCCCTAGTTCTCCCCCACTTCGCCTATGGGGGTGTGTCAAACATTATATATATTGTTGTAGTTGTTAGGCTACAGTGGGTTAGCCTATAAGGGGTACACACTCCTAGGTTTCCATATTTGTACTCTTTTCATTCTTAGTCATTTCATTCCTTGTTCAACAGCTTCAACAACCATGATTTTCAGGGTTTTCGACAGTGAAGATTTCGCCACCGACAGCAATTTCGACTACACAGCGGCTGAATTTCAGGCGGGAGGTCATAGCACTTGGTATTCTGTCCTACCCTCGGTGTCAGGGGGGTTGTGGTTTTGTGCCCGCGCAGCTGTGCACATTTTGGTGGGCAGCAGTTCTCTTCCAAGGGGGGTGGGGGGGGAGAAAGAGTGCTCACGCACTGTTGTTGGCAGGCCTCTGACATTACGGCAGTTATTTCTGATAGTTCGTTTGACACACCCAGCACGACGGACGCACACAATGGCTTCATCAGCATCGACGGCACCAGATTCATCGATCTCTGACAACGCGTCAGAATTCCCGCCGACATGACATTCACCAGAACCATCTGATACACATCCGCGACATCGACGGTCGTCCTTCGTCGAACGATTTGAGATCGACATTCGCTTTCAACCGCCCGATTGACATCGGCAGTATCAACGGCTGACATCCCAACTCTTTGAAATTCGCCTGGTCAACGCGCTCAGCCACGCGTCAACTTGAAAGTCAACATGCTTCCGCACCGTCAGATCAGTTTCAACCGAGATCTGCAGTTTTCACGCTACTGCAAGACTCGCCTACGTATAAGGGCACCTTATTTAGAAGGTGGGAGAGTGTAATGAATGTGAATTCATTACTGTAGAGGCTACTCCTAGCGAGGACAGCCCGAACTGTTCGCGCCAGTTTGGGTTCGGCCTACACTTCGGCTCGAGCCACTTCCGAGTCGCCCCGCACCAATCGCGACACTTCCAACCCATCCACGTCCCAAGGTCCTCACCTACCACGGTTTCGACCCTACAAATGCTTGCTTCTTTATCATTCTCGTCATTCTGTAGTTCTCATCCTTTTATAAAGTCTTCCACGCACTCTTCTTAGTACAACTCATCGCAGTTAGACTCGTATTTGTGAGGTCGTGTATTGTTGCAATTGCACTATATTTTCTATGTTAATTGGCTGGCTGGAATAGGTTTCAAGAAGACATACACACATAGAGCCTGATGATAAATATGTGTAGAATTTCGAGCTACATGTGACGGTTGATTAATCAAATATATTCTGAAATTGGATATGCATAATTTTGTTTACAATGTATTCTGGAACATATACATTCCAGGAAGAGACTAGCAGCCTCTTGTGCTAAACGGAAGGAGCAGCCGTTGCCATGAGTGCATAGAGAAGGGCAGATGCATTGTAAGTGGTATGCAGGGCGATAGCTGGCAGCACGCTATTAGAGTAGACAGCGAGCAGGCCGGCGGCAATCCCAAGGGCCATGTTGGGAAAGAGGAGGGAGAGGGAGAGGTGGAAGAGGGCGAAGAGGGCTGCAGAGAGCATGGCCGCGTCGATCCTGAGGGAGAGAGAGGGAAGAGGGAGGAGAGGTATCTGACAGCGATTGATTTGTTGACTTGCAATTACAACCATGGTTCACATTACCTTGGCTTCATTACTTAGATGTACCAAGAGTGGCAAGGGTAAGAGGAAAAGAACGAGTGCTGTTGCATTGATGGGAGCGAGGCTGGGCTTTGGAGAGTCGAGCGACTGCCCCATCAAGTTATTGGTGAAAGAACATTGTCAAGCCACACTACCCAGCCTCCTGCCAAGCTTCTCACCTGCCGAGCCTCTCTTGCAGGGCTGTGAGCAGCAGCCCTCTGAAGAGCAGCTCCTCTGCTACAGCCGGTGACACCGCCACCCACAGGAACAGCTGTAGCATGTCAAAAAGCGGTAAGGCCGTGGCAGCTGTAGCAGAGGCAGCTGTAGCAGCTACATCCCCTCCGGTCCCATCAGGCAGCAACAAAGGACCCAGCAACAAACCTGTAGCACTCACACTATCCCCTCCGCTTCCTCCTGCTGCTCCTATTCCTGCTGCTAATTCTGCTATTCCCCCGGCCGCCTCCCCTCCAGCACCTGTTTTGAGAGAAATTAAAGACAAAAGCAGAGCCCAAAGAACAGGACCCCCTACAGCTCCTGCTACAGTTGCCTTCCACCAGCTATCGTCTCCCCCCGCTAACTCTCCCCTCTCCCCGTCCCCCTTACCTCCCCGCTCCCCAGCTCTTCCCCCTTCCCCTCCGCCACTACCCCGCGAAAGTTGCAGCTTGAGTGTTGCGCGGAGGGGGAACCCGCGGTCGCGACACCAGGAGAGCGCGGGGAGGACGAAGAACAGCCATTGGACGAGCGCGAGCAGGAACGGCGCGGATTGCGGAGGCGCGGCGCGGAGGATCGGGCCCAGCGGAGAGAGGTCTATGAGCGCGATTAAGGCGATTAAAGACAGGCAGAACCAGGTGATGCCGTCTTGAAAGGAGGGGGAAGGCGGGGGGGAGGAGGGCGGGGATGGGGGGAGCGGAGTGCCGGGAGGGGGAGGAGCGGGGGAAGGGGGAGGCGGGGAAGAGGAGCTGGCGGAAGGGGATACCCGGAGTAAGACGCGGGAGGAGCTGACGGAGTTGTCGCGACTACTAGAGCGGCCCGCGAAGCGCGCGGGAAACGGAGGGGGAAGGCGAGTCTTCTCAGAAGGTATACGGCGACTAACGGCGCTACGGCCCGCGGAGGGCGCCGACGACGGGAACGTGGGAAGCCTAGCTGTTCCGAAAAGGTTAAGGGGGGTGCTACTGGTGCTAAGTCCCGCGAAGGGCGCGATAGAGCTAAGAGAACGGCAGTAGAATGTGGCCATAAGAGGCTCTTCTGCAGAGTCACTCTGGTATTTCGGAAATACGCAAGCGCCTTCGACGAAATGGTCGAAACTAGCGGCGTTTGATGTTTCGATAGGACGCGCCTTCGACGCGTGGAGACGCCTTTGACACCATGTCCTGACCTGACGGAGATTTTGACGAGATTTTCTCGTCCTGGTGGATGCAAGCATAAAAAATTCGCGCCATTCTCACTAGCCCCAGAATTATCCCAAGACAACGGCCTAGTAACGCGTATGGGAAAGTGCATGCATCATTCTAATCCCTTTGTAGTGCTACATTATAGTTGAATGAACATTTCAATATCGCCAATACAAGAGTCTGAGAAGTAATATTTGGGTTATGTTCTTATTATTTCTTGAAATATATATATATATATATATATATCCCTGGCGTGGAAATTAAGCTCACATCTGTACATTGTAGTACACCCCAAATCCAACATGGATCAAAGCAATTCACCGATTTACCATGTGCGCAACATTTCCGCAAACCTCCATGATACTAACTTCATGTGCAAACTTTAGATTCAGAGACCTGGCTGTAGCAGCCACAGACCATGTGGGGTCCCGTGTTTCCCGCCGTCATTTTAGGAGGCGCCGTCTTTTACGTAGTTAAGCGGCTCGCCAGGCCGCGAAAGGCGCTGAGTCTTGAATGGGAGACTGGTCGGCGGAAAGCGCGGCAGCCGCACAAGAAGCCTCCCTCGTTCTACGTGAGTGTTCCTTTAGAAAGTCGGCGACTTATTTGATAACTGGTCCGTCAACTGGTCCGTCAGTTCGTCCGCCACGTCGTCCGTCAGTCTGTCCGTCACGTCCTTCGTCAGAGTCCGTCAGTGTCCGTCAAGTAGTCTGTCAGTCAGTACGATTGTCAAGCAGTAGGCAGAAATCACGCCAGCCGTACACGTCACCTTTCCGCCCCCCCTCTGTCCTTCCGTCTGTCAGTTCGTCCGTTCGCCCGTCCGTTCCTCGCCGAACACCCTGACCGCCCATTCCTCGATTTCCCCCCCTTCGTCTTCCCTCCGTCAGCACCCATTTCTACGGATCCATCAAACTAGTGATCCATACCCATTCTTTTGTCGTCTAGTCGACTCAAGAAACCATCCGTTCCCATTAAACGGAGTGACTCTGTGAACTAAATCAACTCACCAACGTGGAGCTGAGCTTTGAGGCGCCTCGAAAGTCGTCTAAATCAACTCAAGAACCTGGAGCTGAGCTGAGCCATTTTCAGAACATAGCTTTCCACACGCCCACGTGCTGAGCTGAGCTGAACGTGCTGCTTCTGATTCACACGGATGCCCACTGAATTTGCGTGGGGTGGAGCGGAGCTGACTTCCGAGTCAGACTCGAAAGGCATCGCACACCTTGGCTTTATCTCAAAAACACTGAGTGAATCTGCGTGAATTGAAGGAGCTGCTCACCAGCGAGTGTTCGTTACAAACAAAACAACACTCCCGCCCGCCCGTCTCATGCCTTTGCAGCATCGTCTCCCTGCTCCTTTTATTGGAACGGCACTCCTTTCCAGGCTGCGCATGACATTTCTTCAGCTGAGGAGTATTTCCATCAACTCACGGGGAGTCGAGCTCTTTACCAAAGAGTGGCTGCCCGGTGATGGACGGTTGAGAGGCGTGCTGTGGTGCTGCTCTGCCTTTTCATGCCCCTGCTTTTCCCTCCCACAGGCCGCACAAGGCGTGGCTTCATCCGAGGAATATTTTATCAACTCACGGGGCGTCGAGTTGTTTACCAAGGAGTGGCTGCCCAGTGACGGACGATTGAGGGGCGTGGTGCTGTTCTGCCATGGGTACGGGGAGACATGCACGTACATCTTTGAAGGTGGGAAATGGGTATGGATGTAGGGGGTGGGTGTGTGATCGTGTGCGTGTGGGTTGACAATGGTGGGGCACCGCAAGCCATTGAGAAGCGTGGTGCTGTTCTGCCATGGGCACGGGGAGACCTGCACATACATCTTTAAACGTATGGGTGGGTGCGGATGTTATCTGGGCCGTATGGATATCCAGGCAGCAGCAGGCTACGCACTGCTAGGAGTGGACCATGAAGGCCACGGGCTATCAGCTGGTCACCACGGGCTATCAGCTGGTCACCACGGGCTATCAGCTGGTCGCCACGGGCTATCAGCTGGTCGCCACGGGCTATCAGCTGGTCGCCACGGGCTATCAGCTGGTCGCCACGGGCTATCAGCTGGTCGCCACGGGCTATCAGCTGGTCGCCTCGCCACGGGCTATCAGCTGGTACGCACTCCTATCTAACCCCCCCTCCCACCTCCTCTCCCCTTCCAACCAATCCATCTGTTCCTCGCGTCCTTCTCGCCCTTCTCCTCCCACCAGACGTGGCAGTGATGCTGGCAGCAGCAGGCTACGCGCTGGTGGGAGTGGACTACGAGGGCCACGGGCTATCAGCCGGACGGCACGGGTACATCCGCAGCTTCACTCGCCTGGCAGACGACGTGATTGAGTTCGCCAACAGGTTAAGAGGTACGCAGAGAGTTGAGTGCGGTGCTGGGGAGAGGATTAAGTGTGGTGTTCGAGGAAGGAAGGGAGAGAGCAAGGGCCACGGGTTAGCTGACAGCCGGACGGCACGGGTACATCCGCAGCTTCACCCGCCTGGCAGGCGATGTGATTGAGTTTGCTGATCGGCTGAGAGGTAGGTGGAGGAGTTCAGTGCGGTGTTGGGGGGAGGGAAGGGGGAAAACAAGGAGCATGAGTTATCAGCGGACGGCACGGGTACATCCGCAGCTTCACCCGCCTGGCGGACGATGTCATTGAGTTCACTAATCGTCTCAGAGGTAGGCAGAGGAGTTCAGTGCGGTGGAAGGGGTTGTATGCATGTGTGCTGGTCGCCACGGGTACATCCGCAGCTTCACCCGCCTGGCAGACGATGTGATTGAGTTTGCCAACCTGTTCAGAGGTATGCAGAAGGGTTAAGCTGCCACTTCCTTCCTAAGCCACTTCCCTTGGGTTTCACCAATCTTAGATTCGTCAGAGTGTTCTAAAGGCCTCTGTTTCCTTCCCACCACCCAGTCTCCCCCATTTGCCTCCTCCTTTCCCCCACATTCGTTTCCCCCCTCATTCGTTTCCCCCCTAGCAAGCCCTAGGTTCGCCCATCTGCCGTTTTTCCTGTATGGCGAATTTGTGGGAGGGGCCATGGCGATTCATTTTTTTCTAGTCGACCCAAAGCACGCTTCCTCCTTCCCCACCCCTCAATCTCTCCCTTCCCACTTTCCTCCCCCCAGGAAATCCTAGGTTCGCCCAACTGCCGTTTTTCCTCTATGGGGAGTCCATGGGAGGGGCCATGGCGATTTGTGTTCTTAGAGTTGACTACTCAAAACATGTCTCCTCTTTTACCACACACCCCCTTCCCCCCGTCCCCACCAGCAAACCCTAGATTCTCCCATCTGCCGTTTTTCCTGTATGGGGAGTCCATGGGAGGGGCGATGGCGATTCAAGTGGCAAGGAGGGACCCCACTTCTTGGAATGGAGCAGTGCTGGTGGCACCCATGTGCAAGGTCGGTCCAGTGCGGTGTAGTGTGGTTATGAGTGGTGCAGGCAGGTTGGTGTTGAACGACTGTGTTGTGCTCCGTGGCGAGTCAGGATCCCGCCCCTTGGAGCGGAGCAGTGCTGGTGGGGCCCATGTGCAAGGTCTGTACCAGTGATCTGTGCAGTGCGGTGTAGCGAGGTTATGAATGGTGCACAGGCGTCGTGTTGTGTGTGCTGTCTTGTGCTGTGCTGGCTACAGGGAGTCCATGGGAAGGTGGATGGCGATTCTAGTGGCGAGGAGGAAGAGGGGGTGCTGCCGTTCCATGGGGTCCACCAGGAACGTTCTGTCCTCTCTCTCTCGTCTCTCCTTCGTCTCTCCCTCTCCTCCCACCCCGCACTCGTCTCCCCCTCCCAGATGGCGCAAGAAATGACACCCCCAGCACCAGCCATTTTCGTTCTGAAATGCCTATCATACATCTTCCCCACCTGGAAGCTCGTGCCTGTCAGCTCCAACTCTTTTCCACCCTCCCTTATCCACTCCTCTCCCTCCTCCCCTCCCATATGGCTCAAGAAATGACCCCTCCAGCACCAGTCATCTTCGTTCTCAAATGCCTATCATACATCTTCCGCACCTGGAAGCTCGTGCCTGTCAGCGCCAACCCTCCCCCCCTCTTATCTTATCCCCTCCTCTCCCTCTCTCTCCCTCCCAGATGGCCCAAGAAATGACCCCCCCAGCACCAGTGATCTTCGTTCTCAGATGCCTCCATACATCTTCCTCCCCTCCTCTCTTTCTCTCTCCCCCGCTTCTCTCTTTCTCCCCCCCCAATCCACTCCTGTACCTCTTTCCTTCTCAGATGGCGCAAGAAATGACCCCCCCAGCACCAGTCATCTTCGTTCTCAAGTGCCTCTCATACATCTTTCCCACCTGGAAGCTTGTGCCTGTCAGCGCCAACCCTGACAACTGCTTTCAGGTGAATGCAACAGAGAACGTGACAACTACAATCCTATTATATTATCGTTATTAATAATACGACTGTTATTCTTATTATCGTTATCATTGCTACCACTATTATTATTAGTATACTTGTAAGTTGTCCTGAAGGTGATTGCGTGAGCGTGATGATTTGTGATTCCTATGTGTGTTTCCTATGCTGGATCATGCGTGCATGCCTGTTGGTCTGTCATGCTTGCACGCCCACCCACCCGTGCCCTTGTTTGTTTCACACCTGGGCAGGTGCCAGAGAAGCGGGAGAGGGCAGAGAAGCATCTTTTTGCACATTGTGCATGCTGCATTGAAGCCTTTTATGCCTTCTCAAGACTCACCATGTGTTGCTGTGTGTGTGCACACCCGCTTGTGTGCACGCCTGGGCAGGTGCCGGAGAAGAGGGAGAGGGTGGAGAATCATCCCTTTGCACATCACGCACCTGCGTGTATCTATACCGTTTCAAGACTCTCCGTCTGCATCATTCCTGCTTGTGTTCCTGTATGTGCCTGCACGCTTGTGCAGGTGCCAGAGAAGAGGGAGAGGGCTGAGAAGCACCCCTTTGCATATCAGGACAAGCCCCGCCTGGGCACGGCGCTGCAGCTGCTGCGAGTCACCCAAGACATTGGCGCGCACATGGAGGAGGTGAGAGTGAGGGGTGCAAGTTTGCATACATGCATGCGTGTCTGGGTTGTCGGGTGGGGCGCCTTGGCACGGTGCTGCAGCTGCTGCGGATCGCCCAAGACACTGGCGCACACATGGCGGAGGTGGGTGAGTGTCTGTGTCAGTGTCTGTGTGCCGCCCAAGACACGGGCGCTCACATGGCGGAGGTGGGTGCACACAGACACGAGGTCCGCCACTCACCCACCTCCGCCACGTGGTATGACCTCGTGTCTGTGTGCACTTCATGGTATTTTTGAGACGTCTCAAAAACAACCTCGCTACACATGTATGACCTCGTGTCTGTGTGCACTTCATGGTATTGTCCTTTGTATGCAAGGGCGGAGAACCACCCTAACATATGTTACCAGTATTTTTTTTTTTCCTCCACGCCAGCAGTGCCGACAAGGAGATGACGATGTACGAGGGTGCCGGCACGCCCTCACATGCTGTGCTGTTGGTACCCCACCTCACCTCTCGTCACCGCACTGCATTCTCTCCCTTCTCCAGGTCACCGTGCCTCTCCTGATTCTCCACGGGGCAAAGGACGTGGAGACCGATCCAGCAGCCAGCCAGGAGCTGGTGGGGTGCACACCGCACTTAAACCCATCCCACCCCATCCCACACCCCTCCAGGTGACAGTCCCTCTGGTCATCCTGCACGGGGCAAAGGACGTGGTGACGGATCCAGCAGCCAGCCAGGAACTGATGGGGTGCATGCATCTTAAGTCCTTTCTACCCACCTCACCCCACATTACTGTACTCCACTCCTCACCTCCAGGTCACCGTCCCCCTCCTGATTCTCCACGGGGCCAAGGACATGGTTACGGACCCAGCAGCCAGCCAGGAGCTCTTCATCCGAGCCAGCAGTGCCGATAAGGAGATCAAAATCTACGAGGGGTGCTGGCATGCCCTCACATGCGGTGAGCCTGATGACGTCATCGCCAGGGTGGTCGGGGATATTATTGCGTGGCTCAATGCCAGGAGCCTGCCGCCCGGTTCTGCGCCGGCCGGTGGTGTGGTGGATGGTACTGCGCCGCCCGGGGTGGTTAAGGAGGGTGGTGGAGGGGAGGTGGGGGATGCTACTGCGAGTGATGAGATGTCGAGTACGGTTACCAGTTAAGTGGTAACCAGCAGATTAGAAGAATAAGCAGCTGTAACAAGTACAGCAGCAGGCAGAAGTTGTGGGAAGAGTTGATTGGTCACTTTTACCAATAGTACACTTGCGGTATTTTGAGTGTATAATATAACAGGTACACTGCAATCCTCCCTCAAACTCTCAGTATTGTCTACACGGCAAAAAGAAATAACATTAATTATACGAGTACCACCTGGTACAACACTGTTGTCAAGCCTCATCTAGAACAAATAATACCGTATCATCTGATGGATCAACATACGTACAACAAATATGGAGAAAACAAAGAACCTCTACCGGATTGCTAGGAAAAGAACGTGTTGCTTCTTTGATCCTGGGTCGAACAAAACATATACCGTACAATACGCATTGGTTAGTTGCTAAAACCTAGACGGCTTGCCGCCAAGGAACAACTTTTCAAGCAATGCTGCTGGTGGCGTTGCTAGGAACAGCGGGAGAGGCAACGTCTCATGCGGTAACTCCTGGACAAGGGGAAGAAACAGCGGAACAAGTCGGGGAGAGGAGTGTCAGAGGGGGGGAATACATTGTGCTTGTGCCTTTGCTTTTTGGAAGTTTGGCTATCCTTACTTGATCACAAAAGGCAGCAGGACGCTGCAACGAGGAGGAACAAGAGTGTGGGAGGCGTGCGGGGGAGAGAGAGGAGGAATTCGGGCTCATGAGCTAAAGACACCTTAAATTCATACCTGTGGTCACAAGAGCGGAACAAGCAGCAGGAAAGCTGCAACGTGGAGACGGGTGTAGACAGTGAGTTTTTGAGACGTCTCAACTGTGAACAGTGGAACTCACTTTCTACAAGTGGAACAAGCACGTGTAGAGAGGGGGTTTTTGAGACGTCTCAAAGACTCACTCTCTACAAGTGGAACAAGCAGCAGGAAGCTGCAACGAGGAGTCGGAGCAGGAAGGGGAGTGGAGGAGGGGACTCGAGTTTAATTCAGAGTTGCCTTTTGAGTTTTGAGTCGACTCAAAAGCCACCTCGTTACAATGGAGGGGAGTCAGAGGAGGGAGCTTCAACCGCCAATCTAAGGCACCTTAAGTTCATACCTTTGGTCACAACAGTGGCACAGGCAGCAAGAGAGCCACTAGGAGGAGGAAAAGGCGGAACAATAGGGCAGGAGGAGAGTGAAAATGGGCAGAAAAGGCCGAGCGAGAGGGAGGAGGTGGGCTGGGAGGAGACGTCGAAGGGGGGGTGGTGGCAGCGGGAGGCGGTGACTGGGGAGCGGGATTAGGAAGTGGTGGTGCTGCTGGTGGTGCAGGGGATGATGTTGGGGATGGTGGCGGGGATTTTCCCCCAGTTGTGGGGGAGTTTGGTGGGGTGGTTGCGGAGGGTGCTGGTGCTGGTGTTGGCGCAGGGGGGGTGTGGTCGATGCCTGGGAGCACGAGGACAAGTGGGAAAAGGGAGACATACGGGAAGTGACTGGGTTATGAGTGGGGAAGAGAGGGAGGGAAGGAAGGGGGTGTGGCTGCGGATGGTGCTGGTGCTGGTGTTGGCGCAAGGGGGGTGTGGTCGATGCTTGGAAGTGATAAGGAAAGGGAGGGGAGAGGAAAAACGAGTGGGAAAGAGAGGGAGGGAGGGGCAGATGAGTGGGTAGAGAGATGACATGGGGACGGTGTGACTGAGGCAGGTGCCTTGTGAGGAAAAAGACTAGAGCAACCGCTTTCCCCCAGACCAAAGCACTCCCCTTCTTCCCCCAGACCACTCACTTGGATCGTTGCAGTAGCGGCAGGAGGCACAGAAATCACAGTAGAGAGATGACATGGGAACAATAGCACTGGGTCAGGTGGTGCTTCCTAAGGTGCTGCAGGTGTATCCAAGAAGCAACTCCCGCACCACCCAAAGCACTCACTGGGGTCATTGCAGTAGCGGCAGAAGGAGGAGCAGAATTCGCAGTAGAGGGAAGACAGGGGGACAGTAGAAGGGCAGGTGCCTTCCAGCGGGCAGAGGAGACCAGTGGCTGATATGTCGAGGAGTGTGAGCGAGGAGAGCTGAGCTAGAGCGGCTGGGAGAGTCCCCGAGAAAGGATTGGAATGCAGGTCCCTGGGGTAGAGGGAGGTGAGGAAGAGGGAAAAAGTGGGGGCAGAGGAGGCCAGTGGCTGATATGTCGAGGAGTGTGAGCGAGGAGAGCTGGGCTAGAGCGGCTGGGAGAGTCCCCGAGAAAGGATTGGAGTGCAGGTCCCTGGGGTAGAGGAACAAATAGAGAGGGATAACGGAAGAGAGGGGAAAAGGAAAAGGGCATGAGTAAGCGCACTGGTTGATTGATGCGTGGAGGGGAAGGTTTTGATTGAGACGTCTCAAAACCCAATAGTATCACGTGGATACGTGGAGGGGAAGGGAAATGAGAGAGGGGAGCTGGGCAAGAGCGGTTGGGAGAAAGCCTAAGAGCAACGGAGGTGCCAAAAGGATTCTGTATTCTGGCCGGTTTTTGAAGACGAATATGGAAAACCCCTCATAAGTGAGACTTATCATTTGATGTTCGCCAATACAGGATGATATGACAATATGGGTTTATCTTATTTTTAACTCGACTCAAAAACCTCTTTTTGAGTCGACAAAAAAATCCTTACAAGTAATCTCTATCACGCGGTGTTGGCCCGTACAGGACGATATGACGGATATGGGGTGCAAAAGCAGATCAAATTAAATCGTACGTACAGCTTCTCAAGAAAGTTGAGATTGCCGATGGATGGTGGGAGGGAGCCTGTGAAGCTGTTGGATGAGAGATTGCTGTGAAGGGGGGACAGAAAATCAGGGAAAACTTGTGGGTCAGGTGGGTGGTGGGATACTGGAAGGATCGCCAATGGATGGTGGGAGGGTGGCTGAAAAGATGTTGGATGAGAGATTGCTGTGAGGGGAAGACGGGGTGGGGAGAACAAGTAAAGGGAGAGAGGGGCGGAAGGGAAGGTGTATGTAAGACCATCAGGTAGCCACGAACTGGTGGTGGGAGGGAGGGTGTGTGAGAAGCTGTTGGAAGGGCGATAGCTGAGAGGAGCAGAAGGGAAGTAGGGGGCAAGGGGAGGGTGGGGCGATAGGGAAGGCTGGGCGAACAGGAGTGAGAGCGATGGTAATGGGGTGTGCATGAGAAGAGGTGATGGAACAAGGCATGAGAAGAGGTGATGGAACAAGGCATGAGAAGAGGTGATGGAACAAGGCATGAGAAGAGGTGATGGAACAAGGCATGATGTAAAGGCATGAGCAGCAGTGTGAGCTTACAGCAGCTATAGAGATGCGAGGGAGGCAAAAGGCGTCTGGCAGGGAGGAGGTGAGGCGGATGGATGTGCTTGTGCTTGGAATAGGCAATAATGATGTACAGGAAAAGAAAGCAGGCGTGAGGCATGAGCAGCAGTGCGAGCGCGAGCTTACAGCAGCTGCAGAGACGTGAGAGAGTCAAAGTCGTGTGGGAGTGAGGAGGTGAGGCGATTGGGGTGTGCTTGGGATGGGAAGGTATATGTGAAGTGGAAGGAATGAGACACGCCAGTCAAGGCATGGCAGGGCTTACAGCAGCTGCAGAGTCGCGAGGGAGTCAAAGGCGTCTGGGAGGGAGGAGGTGAGGCTGATGCGTGTGCATTCATGCATATGTGCATTCATGCATATGTGCATTCATGCATATGTGCATTCATGCATATGTGCATTCATGCATATGTGCATTCATGCATATGTGCATTCATGCATATGTGCATTCATGCATATGTGCATTCATGCATATGTGCATTCATGCATATGTGCATTCATGCATATGTGCATTCATGCATATGTGCATTCATGCATATGTGCATTCATGCATATGTGCATTCATGCATATGTGCATTCATGCATATGTGCATTCATGCATATGTGCATTCATGCATATGTGCATTCATGCATATGTGCATTCATGCATATGTGCATTCATGCATATGTGCATTCATGCATATGTGCGGTGATGTAGAAAGCATGAGCAGCAGGGCAGCAGGGCAGGGCTTACAGCAGCTGCAGAGGAGCGAGGGAGTCGAAGGCGTCTGGGAGGGAGGAGGTGAGGCTGATGCGTGTGCATTCATGCATATGTGCATTCATGCATATGTGCATTCATGCATATGTGCATTCATGCATATGTGCATTCATGCATATGTGCATTCATGCATATGTGCATTCATGCATATGTGCATTCATGCATATGTGCATTCATGCATATGTGCATTCATGCATATGTGCATTCATGCATATGTGCATTCATGCATATGTGCATTCATGCATATGTGCATTCATGCATATGTGCATTCATGCATATGTGCATTCATGCATATGTGCATTCATGCATATGTGCATTCATGCATATGTGCATTCATGCATATGTGCATTCATGCATATGTGCATTCATGCATATGTGCATTCATGCATATGTGCATTCATGCATATGTGCATTCATGCATATGTGCATTCATGCATATGTGCATTCATGCATATGTGCATTCATGCATATGTGCATTCATGCATATGTGCATTCATGCATATGTGCATTCATGCATATGTGCATTCATGCATATGTGCATTCATGCATATGTGCATTCATGCATATGTGCATTCATGCATATGTGCATTCATGCATATGTGCGGTGATGTAGAAAGCATGAGCAGCAGGGGAGCAGGGCAGGGCTTACAGCAGCTGCAGAGGAGCGAGGGAGTCGAAGGCGTCTGGGAGAGAGGAGGTGAGGCGATTGCGAGACAGATCTCTGGTGTATTGGAGGGAAGGGGGGTGCAAGGGGAGGGGGAGGGTGTTGCAGAGGGGATGTAATTGGCTAGACAAAGTAAGAATGGGAGTCGAAGGCGTCTGGGAGAGAGGAGGTGAGGCGGTTGCAAGAAAGGTCTCTGGTGTATGGGGAGGGGGGGAGAGGGGGGTTGCAAAGGAGTGGGGAACATTCACAGAGGTGAGGCGGTTGCGAGACAGGTCTCTCTTGTATAAGGAGGGGGAGAGGGGGGGTTGCAAGGGGAGGGGTAGGTGCAAGGGGAGGGGGAGGTGCAAGGGGAGGGGGAGGTGCAAGGGGAGGGGGAAGTGCAAGGGGAGGGGGAAGTGCAAGGGGAGGGGGAAGTGCAAGGGGAGGGGGAAGTGCAAGGGGAGGGGGAGAGGGTGGAAGGAGAGAGGAGGGGGTTGCAAGAGGGGAGAAAAGCATTGAAGTAGGAATCGAAACAGAAGGACATAAAGAGAATGGGGTGCGAAGGGGACTACAGGGTTAATGGAAGGGGACAAAACACATAGGAATTTTTTGAGACGTCTCAGAACACTCCTTTTTTCACGTGGAAGGGGAAAAAACACATAGGAAATTACACTTTGCCTGACGTCAAATTCTCGAATCCTCAAGCGTCCGCTTACCGGATAAATGAAAAAAATCAATACTTTGTGTGGTGGTGTGTCTGCTTACAGAATCTCGAGATCCCTAAGCTGAAACCAAGTTGGCGGGATGGAGCCCGTTATGTTGTTATTGGATAGCTCACTGACGGGGATGAGATGGCATAGAGGAACAGCAGGAGGAGGGATGAGAGATTGTGAGTGCTAGGTGGGAAAGATAATGTCTCTTTTCTACAAACAGAGTTTGCAGCTGATCAGGACTTTTGAGATGTCTCCAAAAGTGAGAGTTCTCCAAAAGTACCATCAATCAGCGTTTGCAGCTGATCAGAAATTTTGAGCCGTTTTAAAAGCGAGAGATTTTATATTTGCAACAAACACAGTCTGCAGCTGAAACTGAACTGAGTTTTGAGGCGTCTCTCAAAACTCGGTTTTCATCACGTGCAGTATTTTTCTACAAACGCAGCTCGAAGCTGAAACGGAACTGCCAAACGCACATGCAATGGCATAGATACATGCATGCATGTGCGTGCGATGGCATGCATGCATACACGTGTGCATGCATGGCATGGCATACATACATGGAGGTGAGGTTGGTGAGCAACGGGGACACACATGTGAGATGGCTTACAGGCTATGGTGTGAGGCTTACAGGAGTACATGCATGTGGGGAGTACAGGCTTACAGGCTTACAGGGGTGACGCATGTGTGCATGGCATGGCATAGCATGGAAACATACAGACACACACACACATGGAATGAATGCATACATGGAGGTGAGGTTGGTGAGCAAGAGGTGAGACGGCATAAGTACATGCATGCATGTATGTAGGAACGACACAAGCATGTGGCATGGCATGGCATGAATGCCTACATGGAAGTGAGGTTGGTGAGCAGAGACACGGAGAGGGGGAGGGAGTTGAAGAGCTGGTTGCTGGGCAGGGATCTGCACAGACAGGGATGGGCATGGGTAGGCAGGTGTGGGCATGGGTAGGCAGGTGTGGGCATGGGTAGGCTGGTGTGGGCATGGGTAGGCAGGTGTGGGCATGGGTAGGCTGGTGTGGGCATGGGTAGGCTGGTGTGGGCATGGGTAGGCAGG